AAAACTGCAAAGAAAGAAGGCTGCATTTGCAGAAATCTGTATTCCAAATCCCTCCTATTCCAATTTTTGTCCATTGTTTTTAAAAATCTCAAACTAATACAGGTAGCCCTTACTTGTAAGCTGCTAACCAACTCTTCTCCCATCTGCTTGGTTAGAGTTTGCAGCAATCCAACCAGTACACAAGAAATAAATTCAGCAGGATTCATTTATAGAAGACACTTGCTTAAATACAATAATATAAAACACGATGCATGTATACAATACCCAGGCAGCTCTTGCAACGTAGTAGCAAAGACAAGGAAAAAGAAGCAGAAGCAATCAGAACCACCAGAATTCAGAATTCACAGAAGCTCTAGATTGATACAGACCAGTTACCTACCCTAAGCCATGGCCAGTCTCCAAGCCATCTGACATGGCTCACAACAGACACTGTTTCTTAGTCACCAAACAGTTCCCGTTGTCTGACTTGTAATGTATATCTCAGCTCATAATTTCTTATATACTGACATGCTTGAATTTTAGAATAGAATAGAATAGAGTAGAGTAGAGTAGAGTAGAATAGAATAGAATAGAATAGAATAGAATAGAATAGAATAGAATAGAATAGAATAGAATAGAATAGAATAGAATAGAACAGAATAGAATAGAATAGAATAGAATAGAATAGAATAGAATTCTTTATTGGCCAAGTGTGATTGGACACACAAGGCATTTGTCTTTGGTGCTTATGCTCTCAGTGTACATAAATATAAAAAAATATAAAGATATTATTTGCTCTAGAACTAGGTATGTACTTGAGGTGCTTTTGCAGAGAAGGGGGGGTTTCCAAACTACTCCTCTGAGGACAGGACAAGGAGCAATGGGTGGAAATTTGTTAAAATCCAACCACAAGAGAAGTTTTCTGACAATGAGAACAATCAGTGGATCTCAGCTTGCTTCCCGGAGTTGTTGGTGCTCCGTTGCTGGAGGTTTTCAAGAAAAGATTGGCCAACCAGTTGACCAGGATGGGATATGGACTCCTGCCTTGAGCAAGGAGCGGGGAAACTCACCATAGCCATTGTGCTGTAGCCAACTCACCATGGCCAACTTTCTCTAGGACAACTCACCATGGCTCTCTGGCCATGGGACAACTAAAACGAGGGACAATTCAACAATTCTATTAAATTATTTCAAATAAGGAAAAAAATATTTTAACCTTTGCCATTCCCATTTCATTCTGTCCCTCGTTTTGCATCCTTTCTTTAATGATTCTCTTCCAGCCTTTTTTTTGATATTAGGGTAACTCTTGTCCCACAATGAGTTGTCCTGCGGCAAGATGGCCGTGGTGAGTTGGCCAGTTGGCTGTGGCGAGTGAGCCATGGTCAGTTGGCCATGAGAAGTTGGCCATGTTAAGTTGGCTGTGACAAGTTGGCCATGACAAGTTGGCCATGATACGTTGGCCATGATACGTTGGCCATGATACGTTGGCCATGATAAGTTGGCCATGACAAGTTGGCCATGATAAGTTGGCCATGATAAGTTGGCCATGATAAGTTGGCCATGGCAAATTGTCATAGACTCCTTTGAGCAAAGAGTGTGACTAGGTGACCTACAAGGTCTCTTCTAACTCTGTTAATCTGTTAGAAGACCTCTGAAGTCCCTTCCAGCCATCGTTCTATGTTCGACGTTGTAAATTATCTGAGACTTAGTGTTCTGGTGGTGGACATAGCTTTAGAAACAGCTTAATCTTGGAGAGTTTTTGAGTCCAGCCGAGGCCCTCCTTGGTCTGGTCAAAAGCTTTGTCTGCAGGAAGAGCTCAGCTTCTCGTTAATCATCCCTCAGAGTCCTTTCCTGCCTGCTATCTCTGCTGAACCAGGACCTGCTCCCAGCTTCTCCGCAAAGCGTTAATTAACTCCCTCCAGTGAATGACTTGGAACGCGGTGAACCTTGCCAATCCTTTCTGCTCATGGCTTCCTCCGTCCCTGGATATGGGAGACCTGCAGGCATCTGGATAATTGGTTGAAAAACAGCTGTGCTTTGCTTCTCCTTCCCTCCCACCCTCCCTGCCAGTGAGCTCTTTACGAAGGAGGAATAATCAGAGCTGGACTCTTGTTTGGCTGGAATGACAGCCGGGCTCGGATCCCAAGGTGCGTTTGGCCGAGGCATGCGGGATGAATTCGCCTCTGATGACACGTGAAAGGGGGGGGGGGGAAACGCCGGTTCGTGCGTTCCGGGTTCAAAGAAAACACAATTTCCACTTTCCTAACTTGGCCCATCCTTTTGATCTTCAGCAGAGGGAATTAAATGGTCAGGGCTCGGTTTGGTCGAAGGGCAGAGTTTCTCCATCCCTTTTCAGAGGGATGCACCTCCAACAGTTCTGGGAGTTGGACGCCACCCATCTGAAAGGTCCCTGGTCCTCTGGTCCAGGTGCAGCAGAAATCATAACTTTGGAAAACTCCACAAAGAAAGGGGAAAAGGCTGGATGGCCTTTTAAATTTTATTTTATTTTATTTTATTATTTTATTTTATTTTGTTTTATTATTTTATTTTATTTTATTTTATTATTTTATTTTATTTTATTTTATTTTACTATTCTATTCTATTCTATTCTATTCTATTCTATTCTATTCTATTCTATTCTATTATTTCATTTCATTTCATTTCATTTCATTTCATTTCATTTCATTTCATTTCATTCCATTCCATTCCATTCCATTCCATTCTATTCTCTATTCTGTTCAGGGATGGGATCCGACCGGTATAACTACCGGTTCTGTCGCTCCGCGTCGCGCACACGAGTCCTGCGAGTGGTGTGAGTGCAATTTACGACCTGCTGAGCTGCCTGGACAGCTGAGCAGTGCTGTGTGCATGTGCGCAGCAGTTGGAAAAGCCCTTTTTTCCTGCTTTTTCAACCGCAGGTGTGTCGCGCAAAGCAGCTGCGGTTGAAAACTCAGGAAATAAAGGTCAGGTAAGAGCCCAGGTGGGCGGGTGGGCCAAAACAGCAGCAGACATAGAACCGGTTCTATGTTTGCTCTCTTTTTGCTGCTTTTCAGAGCAACTGGTTCTATAAAAGTGGACAGAACCGGTAGAATCCCACCCTTGATTCTATTCCCTATTCTATTTCCTATCCTATCCTATCCTATCCCCTATTCTATTCTATTCCTATCCTATCCTATTCCCT